CTGCACTACTTCATTGCTGTGGAAAGTGATTTGTGTTGAAGCTTTGGAGGCCCGAGGACCTGGATTGTTGTTGGGGGCGATATGCTGACTCTGGACAGCTCTTATAGAGTGCTTAAAGCTCTATGTAGTGGTATATAAGTCGAACTGCTAACTATAAGAAGAACCTTTCTGACTAAGTCCTATGGCCTAAAATGCCATCCAAATGCAAGAAAAGAACTCAGACCAATCCTAATAATGATGCTGGGAACCATAAATCCAAAAAAGGCAGAGAAACAGATGAAGATTGACTCCTATCTCCCCACTGCAGAGACAACACAAAATGTGGGTAACAGATCTACAGCTTTAGGCTCCTCACAAACCCCAAGGAATATGAAAACACAGAAGCCTGTAACAAACCAGTCCTCGGGCCTCCAAAGCTTCAACACAAATCACTTTCCACAGCAATGAAGTAGTGCAGATAACCTCCAGGAACAAATCTCTGCATCCCCTCCGCCACCTACTACATTACGTTTGCTCTGATCTTTATGTTACAGCAGCTAAATGACCTTGCAGTCAAAGTGGACAGCTTCCAACAAGCTCTCAATCTGCAAATTCTCCACGGCAATCAGGGGGTTAAAATAGCAGCAGAAGCCGGCCACATTGGCATTCGGGCAGTCTGCCCATGACTTCATCAGGGTATCTTAGTGCAGCCAAGTATGACCATGTACTACAGAAAAAGCAACTTCTCCTAGAAATCCATTACAATGCCCATGGATGGAACTGCAAGATTATTGTGACCTCTCTATCTCCCGAGCTGCCAAAATTGAACAATTGATTTGAAAGTTTTTGACTACTTACCTGTTAAATGCATATTCCTGACTGCCACGTACCAGGCTTCAGAATCCAATACTATGCTGACAGCTGCACTTGAACCTACAAATAACTGCTGGCACGCAAGGAAAAGGAGGGCATGAAAAATAAATGGGCATGACTCATTCAGGCAGGCAGTTCCAATGATTCAGCCTCATTCTGGCGTATCCCATCAAGCTCCCAAAGCCATGATCCATCTATGGTGGGACGTCATGTACTCCCAGGGACCTACCTTCAGGAACTCTATAGGGATACCTTTGTTGAAAGTGGAGCCCTAGCAAAATTACAGAAATTTTGCCAATGTAGACATCAGTGACAATGATCAAGAAGACTTGTTGCTCAACGAAGACCAGGGAAGCACACAGGAGAACATCTGATACCTTTTAAATCTGTTAAAATCACCTTTAGGGTCTGGCCTCGCTCTTTACCTGCATTGATGCCTATGGATCTGGAAAAAACAACAAAGATTGGCGCTTGTGATCATTGCCCTTATATATAAAAATGTAAAAAGGGCTGTCCTGGTAATTATATACTGAACAGTCTCTTAAAAACAATCAGCAAACTCTATGTAAGACATCCACAATGGAAATTCCATGTCTGGCTAGCCCAGTGGTTCCCAAACTTGGCAACTTTAAGACTTGTGGACTTCAACTCCCAGCAGAGCTGGCTG